ATGGCCACACTGCAGTCCCTTTTCCTTCATTCTCCTCTCGGGATCTTGGGCATTCACACACACGCACCTGGTGTGAGTTTTAAGTTGCTGGGTTCAGGACTTGAACTGCCGTCGACTACCTGGGAGTCCAGCAACATAATCATTGTGGCATTTGAATAATTTTAATAATATTAAAAATAATCTTAAAAGGTTACTGTAAAACTTTTAATCAATGTACTTAATTCGAAATCTCATTAGGAGAGATACACTAATCAACATTATTATTATATGATTCTTATCACTCTTTTTATATTTTTTTCATTCTTTAGTTCCTGTCTAATATCTTGTTTTTTCTTGTTTCTGCATTGCTTTTATTTTTCTCAGTAAGTCATGACATTTCTACTCCCCACTCCTGAAACTATGTTTTCACTTCTTTCGGAGTCTTTGTACATGTTCATTCTCAGCTTGTTCCTTGAGTAGACCTCTAAGCTAATGGCCTGACCTGGCCTGTGTTCTTTCTGGCCTTTCTTCTCCCTAGCTCACCCTTACAAACCCATTCCTGATACACAAGTATTAGCAACATGGTTCCCACAATGGCCAGGCGCCCAGCTCTATTCACAGACCATCTGGAATTCTTCGGGGCCCACCTGGTCCCTTCTGCTGTGTTCTCATGTTCTTGGCACCAAAATTAGGATGTGAGAGGAGCTCATGAGAGCATATACTTCTGTGCCTCTAGCCATATATTTAGGACATAGGAGCACAAGAGAAGCTTGAGTCATCTTTGCTCTTGCTATAATTTTGCCTTTACTCTCATCTCAAGGACTTTAGAAATTCGGGAGGCCGCTAGAAATAAACCCACTTCACTCTATTATCATGTGAAGAAAAAACACTTGAGAAGGAGCTGTTAGTATTCAAACATCACTTCCCTTTCCTTTCCTCATTTGCCTCAAGTTATTTTCTTCTCAGTCACACTCTGTATTAATCTCTACTGGGCAGTGCAGTCGATTGATAGCCACTGACAGGCCCCTGCCTGGGAGCTGCCTTCTTGGGCCAGAGGTTGATCTGACGGTTCCAGTTGGTAGCTGCCATGTAGCCTTAGCGAACTGGCCATTTCTCCTGATGACTTGAGCCCCGTGCCCTACAAGGGCCAATCACAAAGCCCAGCGTGTCTCCTACAGCAGCAGGGAGTCCTCAGTGTTGCCATTATCAGTGTTCATGGAGAGTGAAAAGGGCTTCGTGTGTCTCTCATACTTTCTTTTCCCTGCAAGGACGGAAGACTGGTATCTGGCCTCATCTTAATTTTTAATTCATGAAACAGTATTTTAGATCTGCTCAGTATTGCCAAGTTTTCGGTTTTCATTTCTGAAGGACTGAGTAAAAATGTTGAAACTAATATATTTTATTAGAAAACTGAAGACGTAAGACATCTATAATTGGCTTTTCAAGCCAAAGTGATAAAAATAGTATAACACAAAAGATCAAATTGTTTTATACTTTACCTATATTATATGAAGTAGGATTTCTGTTATCATTTGTAATACTTTATCTTTGATTGGTAGATGACATATGCTTATCTTTTTTTTTTTAAAGCTTTTTGCTTTAAAGTTTCACAATTTGAACTCCTGTGAGCTTTCACTCTATTCACTAACCAACAATTTACTTTGTTTTTGCTTGCTCCCTCTTCACACACACACACACACACACACACGGAGTTATCCATTCTATTATCATCATCATGATCATGATCACCTTTTGCTGGGCTATTTGGGAGTAAGTTGTAGACATGTAACCTTTCTCTCACTGAAATGCTCCAGTGTGGATCTTCTAAGAATATTCTCTCATTTAAGCTACATGTTTTATGTGTGCATCCTTTTCTTTTTTAAAAATAATTATTTTACTTATTTATTTGTAAACCAGAAAGGGACTGAGTGGGTGGGTGGGGGGGAGTAAGAAAGCGAGCTGCCAGGTTTGTGACTCAAACCACAATTAGCCATGTGGGAGTCCAGCACCCTTAACTACCACGCCACCTGCTGGCCCCTCTGCATACATTCCTAAAAACAATGTTAGAGCACGTGGGAGATCAGTAAGAAGTCATTTCACTAGTTCCTCTGTTTCTTGCAGTTAAATTCCTCAAGGGAGGAGGATAACAGTGATGTGGTGGTTAAGATGCTGGACTCCCACATGACTGACTGTGGTTCAGGCCCCAGATCTGGCAACTTGCTTCCTCACTTTCCATCTCTGTCTCTCTCTGGTCAAATTTTAAAAAATAAAAATAAATGAATAAATAAAACTAAATAATTATTTAAAAAGATTTTCAAATTCCTAAATGTTATAAATTCTATATTTTTCTAGGAGTGAAAACACAGGCTATTCTGGGGACTC